CTCTTTAGTTCTTCACTTTCTGCCATTAGGGTGGTATCATCTGCATATCTGAGGTTGTTGATGTTATACAGTATGCAAAGTCATTAATTATCATTTGCAAAATGCAGCAGTTGGGTTCATGCAATCCACCAAGCCAAAATGAAACAAACCACTGTACATCTGAGCACATTGTATGAATGCAATATTGGCAATCTTCCCTTTAAAATAAATGCAAACTGTAGACCTGAAACTTTTCTTGAATGACACAAATTATTGGGATTTATTTCCCCATCTGGATTCAAAGACTTTTGAGATGGAAAACAGCATTGATTACCTTGGCTGATTACTTGTGCTAGGGATTATCCTGGGGGAGTGATTTCAGCTGGTTATTCGCAATAATAATTTCTAGTCTAGATCATGGTGTCCTTCTGGAACATTTGATTACTATAGTATTTGGGGAATTTGTCAACAGTGCTTCTGTACTTCATTAACCCAATAATCTTAAACAGAGGTGCTTCAGGGTTATTACTTGGTCATTGCCTTGTGGGTTTTCTCAGGGATCCATGGGGTTTCTGAACATTTTATAATCTACACCAGTGTTTTTCAACTTTGGCAACTTTAAGATGTGTGGACTTCAATTCCCAGAATTCTGGCTGGGGATTCTGGGAGTTGAAGTCCATACATCTTAAAGTTGCCAAGGTTAAAAAAATACTGAACTATACTTTTTCTTTGAAACATTGATGACTGGTGTTCTTCCAACAACAGAGATCATCTTGCACAAAAACATGGGGCAGGGAGATGGAAAGAACTTTCCTTAAAAATTTGTGCTTTTGTTTGTCGTCCTACCACTATCCTTTGATCTGAAAGCCCTCTGTGTAAGTGAAAGATTATGTAGCTCCCTGTAGACCATGTAGACACATTGTCAGTGAATTGGATCCTGCTTTTCAGACAGTTATCATTTGTAATCCTCAGAAAGAATTCTTTTTATGGTCTGCCACAGTCACATGGGAACCACAGTGAGGAGGCAAGAAAGACAGCAGCATCCAAGTACCACCAAAGGATAAGACAGGTCCTGAAGAGCCAGCTCAATG